AGCCTGTAACACATCCTTGTGTCCTTAAAAATAATAGCATCATATCTTCTTTATAGCAGGTGATCAAACAATACATTTTGATTCATGAATGGATTGATTTTAAATGGCCTTAAATGTTGCTCCAGATTTTATGTGGGCAAATTAGCCTACAAGCAGATGGCATGCATATAAGCAACTGGATGAATTTCTATTAACCATCACATATATGCCAGAATTCTACACCATGATGTCACTGGATAATAGAATTAATTTTAATTAAGTCAACGGTGTGAAAAACAACACCTAGAAAATAATTTCGTTATCTTAGTGAAAATGTGTCCTTATTGGTATCATTGTTTTGTGTTTGGAAAGTCAGTGATCAAGGAAATGGTGACTGCAAGTTAATTTTCTCTTCTTTGTTCTTGTTTAAGAATTTTCATTCATTGCTTTTCAGGAAAGCTATTAAGAAAGAGGAAAAGTTGAAGACAGAGCTGAATAAAGAAGTCTTTCAATGGAAGATAATGGCAGTTAAACAATTCTTATCTTCTTTTTTAAAAGACGCCTAGACATTGGAAGGAAAAAATGGAGAAGCAGATGGAGGTAGTGTCATCATCTGTGGACACTCCCAAACCTGAATATAGAGTACAGTATAATGAAACAACTAAGTTATAATGAAACAACTAAGTCCACTTGCTAAGTCTCAGCAAACATTTTTTAAAACATCCATTAGCCTCTTGTTTTGTGACTGCTCTGCCAGAGTGTTGCTTCATAGCAGGATATTTTACTTTACAATGAGAAAAAAAAAATACCCTCCTTTTACCATCTTTACAGAATCAAGGCATTAATGGGATTAAATTGTCATGGTCCAGAGGGATTCCAAAAACTGACATTCTATCCTCAACTCTGAGAGAATTCACCATGTCTATTTGTTAATGCATATTATAAACACTTTCAACATCTTTTGTGAAAATTTCATTATAACCAGCTAAAGGCATTGGTTCTTCAAACCTTTGGAAGTGTTAAGAAGAACCTGGGCAGCCTCTCTTCTGAATAAATGAATGATTACTCCAATTGTTCTTCCTAAAGAATGTTTTATGATTATGAATGCATTGTATCATGTGCATTTTAACTCAACTCAATATCTTTTATGGGCATCTAGAGTGCTCTTAAAAACACAATAAAATTTGAACTAAAATTCCACGAAAACTCAGATAAGAGAAAATTACCTATCTCTGAAACCTCTTTGGAGAGTGTTTTAGAGAATTTGAAAAAAGACATTGATGGATTCCTACAGAAGAAAGTTTAAGAAGTAATAATATCTGAGCTGGATGGCAAAAAAAAAAAAAAAAAAAAAAGATGCTGAAGTGTTCTTAGTGTATTCTGCTGATGCTTTAAGTTCTACACGATAGTAATTGGAATGGGATTTCATTACGAGAAGTTTTTACCCAGTCACACCAACTGCATCCTTGTAAGAGTGATGGAGACTAAGTGTACCTGTTATGACCATTACCATCAAGTCTCCAGGGAAACAACTCAGGAAGTTATCAAAGCTGTAAAAACAGAGGGGAAAAGCATAATGTACTGCCAACAAACTCCACACTCTAAAATACTTGAAGCTTTAAAATAAAATAAATAAATGAATGAATAACTCATAAAATGCTGCTTAAACAATCTTGAGGAGGGGGGAAGCCTTTATTTCTCTTCTTATTTCAAAAATTATTTTAGCACCAAACATAGCTCATTTCCCTTGAAGAATATTATTCACATTCCTTACTTCCTCAAATAATATGGAGACTCAGTGATATTGTCAAGCAGAGTGCAGTGTAAAGTTTAGGTAAAGTTGACATTAGCCATGAACACAGATCATTCTTTCTATCTTTAGTTCTTTAAATAGAATAATTATTTGTGCCTCTTTCATGTTTCTATTTTAGCGTCCAGAAACATGTGGCTAAATCATACGTGGGCAAGGTATTTTATAGAAATCTGTTATATATGATGGCAAGATTCCCGTAGCCTACAATTCTCCATATGCCTACAATGCATGTTTCCCTTCGTGTCCAGGCCTGTATTTGAAAATTCATGGGCTCTCCTTGCAGTATAATGAGTAGGTTAAGGGCAAATGGGTAAAAAGTGGTTTTACCTGGTGGATTTTTTTTTTAGCCCTTTTAATCTTCAGTCTAATGCAATCTAAGAGAGATAGTCTCCTTTACAGTCTCTGTTTTGTTGAGGAAAGAGGGAGCTCCCTAAATCTATACTAGTACAGACAGTAGTCAAGAGGATGCACAGGGAAGCACAGCAGCCTGGAGCCTACCTTCCCCAGCGCTGGCCTTTCTGGACACCTGCTGTGGTGCTGTCAGGACTTAATGCAGTTGGTCAAGTTTAAGCAATTCTAAATCTAGTTGAAACTGACCAACAGTAGATCAACTGTATCTGGTTTCTACTTCCTAACATGATCTAGATGAGGTAAGAAAACCAAGCTTAACTATCACTACCAGAGCCCCAAGACCACGGAAAGAACCAAGGCAAGGGGTAATTTTCAAAACTCCAAGTGACAGGTGGTTCTGAGCGTTTATTACACAGTATATGCAGTAGGGTCTTGACCTCTGAGCAGCCCCATCCAGGTGGCCAAAGCTCGGATCTTCTTGAGTGATAGGGAAGGTAGAGGCCCTCTTTCCTCCTAGCAGATAAGGAGAGAACCCTGCCTGGGAAGAGAGAGAAGGAGGACAAGAACAGATCTCCACATTGCTGGAATTCTTGGAGCCCAGATCTAGCTCCTTCTCCATTTTTAGAATGTTCTTCCTCTTTAAATATTCATGTTCCTGGATTCTACCCTCAGTGCATTCTCTTCTCACTCCACTAACTCTCCTCAGAAGAAGTTGGAGTCACTTGGCTCCAACAACCAAAAAGGATTCAGGTTTTTTGAGAGCAGAAATATATATAATTATGAAAAAGAACACAAAATCACAAATACAAAATTAGATATGAAGGTGAAAGTTTATTAAGAAAGAAGAAACACGACACATTGGCGGGTAGGTCATGGCTGGTCCTAGATCCTGCCCACTAAGCCAGTCCACTATCACAGGATGTAGATCTCGGATGCTGCTGCCAACAAATCCCAGACTCCCACCCTCACTCCCCCTCTGTCAATTTCCATTTTCACATAATTGTGCTTTAGAAAATTACCTCTTTCACAAATAATGTGCTTGGTTAGTTGAGAGATTTCACTGATGCTTATGGGTCTTTTGTGCAATATTTCATTAAGCTTTTGCATATTCAGTTTGATAACTAGAAGAGGAAATGAACACAGTTATGTCTGGTATTACAATTAAAAAATAAAAAATAAAAATCCTTTGGACAAATCTTTAGTTTCTTTTTTTCCAAGGGTTCTATTTTGTTTTACATACATTTCTTAATCACAACCACATATAAAAAAATGAATTTTATTTTAATAGCCCCACCGCTGCTCTGTAAAATGCACATAGATTTGCAAGATAGACAAAATATAGACTACAAATTACCCTCAGTAGTTAAAATTCAATTGCATTGATGAAATTATGGGAAAGGGTTCATTTTCTGGTGCTGTCTTTGGGTTTTTTGAAATGCTGGTTGCTGGCTTACTCACTAATTTGGTAATTTGCAATAGGTTTCCTAGTCATTAGTGCAAATTAGCAAGGTTTAGCTATAATGTGAATATTAATATCTTCATTTAGAACCATTCCACGTGCCTTCTCCTGGTTTCTAAGGACAAGTTGTTTTTTTAAACCTTGGAGAAAGGCTATATGAAATACATGAATATGATGTTTATGAAAAGGCATTTGATAACCAATGCATTATTTTTCATCTTCTATGAATAAAATGTCAGTGACTTTGGTAATATTGTATTTCAAAAGCCCCAAAGAGTGACAGACAGCGCCATGCCCATATTGTGCTATATTAAAGGAATATTGGTGCTTGGCTAGAAAGGATTTTCTAGCCCAGTCTGAGCAATAACCACTTGATCACACATCCTGCCTGAGTCTAAGCTCCTGATAGCAGAGTTTGTGCCTCTCATTTACTGGCTCCGAGCCTTCCACTCAGCATTCTGTACAGTCACCGGGGCTGTGTGCCTTCGGCTACATGACCCCTGGGGCACACTGGAGAAATGTTGCCTTCTGTCCATGACCCTTTTAAGACCCTTTAATGTCTTCCAAAGTTGTCACCATGGCACTGACTTGCTTTCATAATTCTCCCTGACAACCACTCCTCCTCAATGCTTGTTTTCACTGTAGTGCTATAATTTAAGTGCATGCCAGAGACCTCCACTGTCAGTGTCTTTTCTCCTAATAGAAGCGACATTGGAATTTTTCCTGCGAATACACCAAAGCTACCAACTTACTAGTTTCTTAAGGGTGACTTTCTCAGCCCTGGTACCTAGTCTGCTGTTTTGCCTGCCTTGGGCCTCAGAGAATTCCAAAACGTCCTCCCCACTTCTTTCTTAAATGTGGCATTATTTAAATTTAACACTTCTCATCAATCAGCTTGGAGGCAAGAATGATCACATAAAACAGTATCCTCATGAAAAAGAAAGATAAATTTACCAGCTGAGACCTCTAAGCAAGACAGTAAGATGGATGGGGGCATGAAAAATCAGAGTTCCTTATTTTTCTGGATTATATCACCTCCCACTTATGATTCTAATATTCCTGAAAGAATCTTAAGCTTTGAACTTGAATCCATGCTCTGACACATCTCAGAGATTCAGTTCCCTTATTTGTTAGATGTGGGTGGTAACATGACCTCACAAGGTTGTAGTAACACTAAAAAGCAACATGTGTAAAATACCCAGCACAGAGCCTGGAGCACAGTTGGGCTAAATAGATAGTGATGCTGCCATCATAATTGAAAGCATGATTGAAAAGGCATGTGCTGGAATATCCACTCACGTCCTTGCTGGGGTCTTTGGGTTGACTGGCAGTGAAATAGTCATTGACAAGGTTCAGGATCCTGATCGAGATTCTGATCACAAAGGATGCATGCAAAGAAACAGAGGAATAAGCCAGCTCTGGGTTCTTTCAGAAATTCCAAGACTCAACAAACAAAACAATTGTCCGTAATGAAGTCAAAGGGCCAGTCTTGAGAAACATTAGGGCCAAGATTTCAGAGTCCGGATAGAGAAGAAGTGAGAACAAGAACAGGTGGGATGCAGGTGGCAGGTGAACCTCAAACCTCAAACACAGGTGCCTATTTCCAGCTCACTCCTCCAAGCCAGTGGACATGTGGTGCTTGTGTAGGTAGGGCAGGCTTCAAGCGTCTGAAATGGGACAGAGAGCATAGAATATGAGATAAGAATGCTTTCAGCCAGCTTAAGCTATTTTTAAAATGCTGCATAAATACTATTCTAATACTACCACCTTTGGAATATACCTGTCTTCAGAGCCTGTCCACCTGAAAGACCACATTTTCTGAGCAGCAGGTCTGTTTCCTGGAAATCAGGCACCTGCCACCCAAAGTCGCACTCCCTGCTGTGCAGAGCAGCGGTCAGATCCAACAGCTGTGTACACTTGAACTGCATGGCAAAGTGACCCTGGGAGGGCAGAGAGCTCTGTAAAGTGTCCCTCAGAATCACACTACTGTGCCCTGTCCAGCTGCAGTCAATCTGGGAGCAGCTTTGACCGGGCACTTGTCCGATCAAGAGCTCGTCCTCAGGGCTGTGAGCAGTTATGACAACCTGAAAACTTGGGGTCCTCCTAAAAAGAACGTGCAACTCTTTTTATCGTTCTTTTTTAGGAGAGAACAGATGTTATCTTTCCTACACAAATGTGTATGGGCCACCCCCTCGCATGGTTAAAAACCCTTCGCCACACCCAGTCTCTTGCTTTTACACTACATAACTTCCCTACAGCCACCAGCCCAGTGCCTCTGCAAATTTTTAATACTTAGCGTGTAACAAGCCTCCTCTTTAGACTCCTCATACCTGTTCTTGGAATTCATTGAACTCTTTTCCCCTCAAGTTATCACATGCATTCTGCTGGTCAATGTGCACCCACTTCAAAACTTCATTTCCAGTGTAGTGTTTAAGGGTTTCGTCTGGACACGAAAAAAAAAAAAAAAAAGGTAAGAAGAGAGAGAATGTGAGCCTCATGGAAAGGGAAAATCAGAACAGATTGCAATGAAGCTAAACTGTCTATTCATTTGAATCAAATGCTATAAATTTCTAAGCATAATGTTTGACAGTAAACTGTCATCAAAGCAACAGACTCATTATAAAAATGCTAAGGGTATATAAATCTCATTGACTGCTTATCATTAACTGCACAGGGTGCTGATAGGAAATGCCTGGTTATAATTTATATTTCACTAATAAGGTCCATTTTAGAGCATAGCTGTCAAATCTATTACTCACCTTTCCCCAGTTTTATAGTTGCTCTGGACAGCACTGAAATTGAATGTTAAAAGTGTGGTTTCAAGCATTATCTTTTCCTCTAATATCTCATCCCTGCATATTGAAGCATGCCTCACCTTTAATCAGAACTCAACAGCCAGATTGTTTTTTAGAAAGTAAACCAAAAAAAAAGAGAGAGACAGATAAACATTATTTTTTAAAAGCAAGATGCAAACAGTCCCATTTGCTCACTTTCAAAATCTAAAAGGCAAAATGCAATTAAAATGTTAGTAATCCCAATTATTCCATTCTTCAACATATTATTTACATTAATGATTTGGGGGAAAGGGTTTGGGGGGATTTGGGGCTCCGATGAAGAAACCTGCCAATAAGTTACTAAGGTGTGGCTCGCACAAGACTAGGCCCTTCCACTTAAGTTGCCCCGTTTATCTTTAGGTCAAGATAGTTCCTTTAGGTTAAAAGAACTCCACCCAGTTTAATCAAGTATTATGCCATATATTCATAATCTCCTAACAAACAAGGAGAAAAGTTGTGGGTCCTATAGATGATGTCTAGGGCTGGGAATGTGTCTAAGGAAAATACTAATACAAAAACCAAAACCAAACAACACAATGTTTCACCACCAGTGCACTTTAGGGTCCATACTCTCCATATGCAAAACATTGAAACATCTCAGTAAACTTTGAAGAAAATGTTTTCATATTTTTGGTATATGATAAATGGAGTGGTATGTTGTATCTCCAATATACCAGTTATTGCTCACTGGAGGCTTCCAGAGCCTCAAGGAATAGAAAGAAGAAGCTTCCAGAATGTGTCAAGCTGATGTGTTAGGCAAGGGTATAAATCGAAGGTCATGGTGAGAGTTGAGCTTTGCCAAAATCTCAAACCAGCGAAGAATAGGTTCAGAGTAACCGAATCACAGAACTACTGGGTCAAGGCCAGCCGAGGAGTCCCAGTGTGACAGGTCTAAGACAAAGCCCACTGGGAAATGAGTTGTTGTCCCCAGACAGTTGCTTTTGACTCTGAAGTGCTTCCTCTTTGATGGTCATACCCCTGTGCATTTTAATGCAGCAGTACTTATGAACTATGAGCTATCCCTGACACAAAAGACTGTGCACTTTAGGAATGAAGTAAGTCACTGAATTGTAGCACCTTCCCCAGAAGCACCATTCTCGGAGTCAGTGGCCTTGGAACTTCCGGTGTTTCTAAAAACTAACGACAATGTTTAGAAGACAAGTGGGAACTATGTTACACAGAATTCTGCCTCAGGGCGTCTGGGTTCCCAATCTTTCAACACAGTCATTCAGATCAAAATCAACATTGTAGATTACGGAGAAATTAGTTGTTAGTGTCATCAATGCTTAAAGTTAGTACCCTACCACCACCTCCTCTGAACTGTGCTGCAATGCTCCAGAAACTTCTCCTTGGGCAATAGCTCCTTAACCAGAGATCTTCGACCTTCCACCACATGCCCATCTTATTATTTTCTCGAGTAGTTTGAGGGTTCCCCATTTCCCCTTAAGATCTGGTTCCTTTTCTACTCTGTGCAACCACCCAGCGCTCAGCTTGTCACACCTTTGTTCTGCGCTGTAAATCCTCATCCGCCCTGTCCCTTTTAGTCTTCTCTTCAGTCTTTTAGTGAGAAGAAAAGATCACTAGTGCATTTAGTCAACCTGAATGAAATCCTGCCTCAAGTGTCACTACATAGTTAACCTCAGGGGAAGTCGTTTAACCTCTCTGAGCATTTTTCCTCATTATGAAAATGAACATGTAAATCTGACCCCGTCTGCCCTTTCTCAACTGCCTTCAACAGCTCACAACTGCCAAAACAGTAATCTCAGCTCTTTTCCACTTATATTCGACGTATTCCCAAGGGCACACCTAGCTTTTATAGTCACTCAGGGGAGGTTACAGCTAGGCTATTGGAGATGTGTAATTGCTACCCTCCAACTGCCATTTGTCACAACATCTCCCTTGATAAAAATCTCTTATAGAGCAGCAGTCCCCAACCTTTTTGGCACCAGGGACCAATTTTAATGGAAGACAGTTTTTCCACAGACTAGGGAGGGGAAGATGGTTTGGGGATGATTCAGGCTCATTACTTTTTTTTTGTGTGCACTTTATTTCTATTATTATTCCATTGTAATATATAATGAAATAATTATACAACTCACCATAGGTTGGAGATCCCCGTTATAGAGCATAAAAGTTAAGTTCTTTTGCTCGACACCCGAGGTTCTTCATACTCTGGTTAAGCTTCCATGCCTGAGTGTAGTCCCCCCAGCCCAGAGAATCTTCCCAGCAAGACCCCTGACACACACACACACACACACACACACACACACACACACTTTAACATCCAGCAGTCCTGAACAACCACATTCTCTTTTGTCTCCAGACCTTGGTACATTTTTTTTTTAATTTTTTTTTATTTTGGCATATTATGGGGGTACAGATTTTAAGGTTTCAATAAATGCCCATTTCCCCCCCTCCCCCAAAAGTCTGAGTCTCCATCATGACCATCCCCCAGATGGTGCACATCTCACTCATTATGTATGTATATACCCGCCCCCCTCCCCCCTCCCACCTGCCCAATACCCTATTACTGTAGCACCTATGTGTCCACTTAGGTGCTACTCAGTTAATACCAGTTTGCTGGAGAATATATCTGGTGCTTGTTTTTCCATTCTTGGGATACTTCACTTAGTAGTATGGGTTCCAGCTCTAACCAGGAAAATATAAGATGTGCTATATCACCATTGTTTCTTAGAGCTGAATAGTACTCCATGGTATACATATACCACATTTTATTAATCCATTCTTGGATTGATGGGCACTTGGGCTGTTTCCACAGCCTTGCAATTATGAATTGTGCATTTTTCTTCTCCTGAAGTGCTTTCTTTTTCTTTTCTTTTCTTTTGTTTTTCTTCTCTTTTTTTTTCTTCTTCTTTCTTTTCTTTTTGTTTAAACTTCTAATCATCCTTGAAGCCTCAATTCAAATTCTATTCCCATCAAGAAAACTTCCCTGACAACCTCCAGGAAAACTGTGATTCTTCTACACCTATGCTCTCCCTATAATTTGAACACTCATTGATAGCAGTCATCATTGGTAAGTGTTTATTTGCAATTTGGCAGCCCCCTCAACCTTAAACTCCTCAAGGCACTGTGTCTCCTGATCTTCGGGGCTCTAGATGTGCACGTTACCCAGCACACTGTAGCTGCTCAGTTTAAATATTAGGATAAATAAATTTTACCAATATCTTCTACAAAACCTCACTGGAAATTTCAAAAAGAAACAACTATTGTTCAATTATGTGGCTACATAAATACAGTGCTGATCTCGTACATTCTTCTGGCACTGTGTCTACAATGACAGCTGAATACTGTTTGCTCAAATAATCCCATGCCAAATGTAACTTTATCTAGGAACGTATCAAAATTGACCACATATGTGAAGTCACATAACACTTACAGATTTATGGAGGATCAAACTGTGCAACCATCTAATTCACATTCACTGGAGCCACTGGCTCCACTGAGCAGGGGAAGGAGGTAAAAGGATGAAGGTAGCAATTCAGTGGCCCTGGGGATCCATGCGCATTACACAAGGAGAAACTACGCTGTTTAACGTCTGGCTACATTCCTAATTTTAGCCAGATATTTCGCTAAGGTGAGAAAGCACATGCCATAAATCCATCTCCATAGGTGGAAAAAATTCAATGAATATATATTATGGATGGAGGAGTGATGAGATGAGTTCCTTAAGGGAAGCAAATATATACATATATATGTTACAAACACACACACACACAAACTATACATCTACTTGCTTCTAGATAGTCTATTCTGGCCAGCAATATAGTCAGAATCAAACCTGGATGTGACAAGCACGGCGATAGTAGAATTAAGACAATCCCCCTCCTAATTTGAGCTCAACTCCATATTATCATAAACCAGTGATAGTGTGCAATTCAACTACAAATGCTGAGATAACAATAGCCCCACAAAGCACTCCTGAATCTCCAGACATGCTAAGCAAAGAAAAGCAATTTTTATTTTTGCTGATAAATGGTTTAATCAAACCTAACAGATGAGGCAATATATTTTGAGAACATTTTGTTGTTCAGATCATGGGGTCAGTAATTTTCTTTGGTGCAAACACATTACGGTATAACCGAGTGTATGTGGTGGGGTGGGGGAGGTGAGCTGGTGAGGAGGGATCACATAGATTTTTTGCAATAGGTAGTGTATTATGTTCTATCTAGAGAATCTTTTATAATTCTTCTATTTCAAAAATGCTATAAGAGGGAAAAAGCATCAGAATTGATATTTTTCCTGTGATTTTGCAGAAAGAGAATAAAATAGCAATGAAACATTGTGCTTCTCAAAAAGAACACAAAAAATAAAAACCTTAAAGTAATAAAGGAGTAGATGTTGAATTTTGCTACAGCTTTCAAAATTCAATTCATACTATATATGGTAGGAAGCCAACTTTGGCAAATGTCACTAAGCATAACGATCAGATAGTCAGATTACTATCATGTAATTTGTACAATTCAATTCTGTAAAAGAGATGGTCCCAGGCTATATGCTGGGAAGACACTACTTTTCATGACCAGCTAGCCCTGTGACACAGCCAAGACCTCAGACATTTGCAGGTGTGTACCATCCACTTACAGATTTGCTTCATGTTTTTCACAGGCCCTTTTTATGTGCTTAAGAGAAGACACTTCTAGAACCATACTGATAATAATTTTTAATGGAAAAAATTCAGCCTGTGTTCATATAGCATTGCTACCAGATAATGAGCAGCCCTCCCATTTGTAGAGCACTAGTGACTTCCAAATTATTCTTACACACACTATCCTTTTGAACCTCCAATGACTCTGGGATGCATATAGGAAAGCGTTATCTCGTTTTACAGATGAATACACTGAGGCTCAGAGACAGTAAACAACTGGCCCAACATCAACCAGCTTTAGGGATTCTTGAGATTTCTCAAGGTCTTCTAAGTACCAGCCTAGGATTCCTGCGATCCTCACAGCTAGCTGCAAGGAGAGGAAGCTTGGCAGATGCCCTATGGTGGATTTGTTTCGGCTCCACCAGTTACCTCACAGGACTACTGTGAGGATACCACTAGGTCCTCTACCTTCTCATCTTATGATAAGCTGGTATGGTCCCAGAGAGTCTCAGCTCACACTACGGTTTGTAAGTTTCTCATCCAGCTGCATTCCCTGACTGTGCTGCAGGTTCTGTGACTAAGTGGGGCAGAAATACTAAGAAGACAACCTCCAAGGCATGAGACTTCTCAAGTAAACAACTGTCCCAGTTTGCCCAGTTAGCTTAGGACTGAGGGATTTCCTAAGATGCAAGACTTTCAGGGCTAAAACCAGGACGGAGGGCTTTCCTGGGAGGTAGGATGTTAAGGACAGTCCCAGGTCCACCAGGACAGTTGCTCACCCTAGTTTTCAAATTTTTAGTATAGTGTCTTCAGAAACAAGGACTTAACATACCAAAGATGTTCAGAATGCTCTGTTCTTCTGTTTCTAATTTGCCTGTCAATGAAAATTTCACAAAGGTTCATATGAAGTGAAAGACCACTTATGAAAGACCCAGTTTGGGGAAAATTAGGAATTGAACTTACCATTTATTGAGCCTTTTTCTTATTTTCAGTCATTTATTTATCTTAACTGTTAAGTGGTTTGCACTTCATGATAATCTAAGTATTAGAATACACATTGTTAACCAAGCAAGACTTAGAACGTGCATCGAACAACTAGAAAGATAGACAAGCAATGAAGCATCTACACTTCAGTGTGAAAAAAGACAAAAGGATGCTATGGGAGAACAAAGAGTTGACATATAACTCACATGTGTTTAGGGAGGTAGAAAAAAAGAGTGGATGTTCAAGAAAGGAATTTTGAATGAAGAGATTTTTTTTAATAACTGATGGAACTTAGTTGAGTATATAGAGTGGAAGGGATGGGGCTTGGGATGGACTGGAACAGGGTATCCTACCAAAGAACACAAGACACAAAGGCTGGGATGCAAGACAGGGAATGATGCACTCAGGATCCCAAGGTAGGTAAATTAATAGATGAATCTAGACAGTTGAACCTGATGGACTCTGTACCCCACACTAACAAGTTAAGACTTTATCCTATGTGCAACTGGGAACCACTTACGGGTCTTGAGTAAGCAAAGGTATAATCAGATGCACTTTGAAAAGACACTCTGACTTCAACATGGAGAACAGACTGGGAGAGGAAGGAGCAAGATGGAATCTAGCAAGACTGGAGCAGTTGCTGTAAACTAAGCGAGGGACAGTGGTGTCTTGTACTAAGGTAGTGGCAGTGAGGATGGAGAAAAATGGACAGATTTTAAAGATATGAAGCTGGGAGAATAAATATGACATAAGGATGGATTGAATATAGTTTGTAAGGTAAAGGAAGGAATCTAGGATGGATATATACACACACACACATACATATACACACATATAAAAAATATCTGTGTATAATATATATGTATATTCATGGTAAATTTACATCTCTCATTCTCAAAGTAGTTGTGTACCATACACACAAATTTTAAATTTTGCCTGAGTCAAATAGCAAATAGCACAGTTTGGGATTCTATAGCCATCCCCAGCTCTTACCTCTTAAAAATATCCAGGCAGTATGTGGATGTATGTTTTGTACAGTTAGCACAGCCAAATAATGTATCCCATTCCTGCATCCCCCAACGAACATTTATCATCAACTTCTTAGTGTTGGTGGTTGGTCTAGACACCAGAGGACAAAAAGATGAATGAAACAGAGTTCTTGCCCTCAAAGGGTCCACAGCATAGAGGGGGAGACAGGCAATAAAAAGAAAATTACAATACAATGTGATCAGGGCTAGGATACAATGGGGTCAGGTAGGAGTATGTAAGGAGAGCAGCTTGCCCAGTCTGTCTCGGGATGCTGGTGCATGAGGAGTTCTGGAAGAGATTCTCTATAGGCTGTGTATTTCCCTCTCATCCCACCTCTCTCTCCCAGTGAGTTCTTTCCAGAAAAAGTCTGTTTCTTATTTAACACAGAACCTTGCACAGTAGATGCTCAGTAAGACAGATGGATGAATGGAGGGATGGATGGAATGAGTGAAAGAAATAAGTAGATATTGAGCTGACCTTAAAGGATTGAGGAAGAATGGCCATCAATTCATGGAAATTAATGGGTAAAAAGTGCTTTATGGTGAAAAGGGATTTATTGAGAAAGTACTGGATTAAATGGGCCACTGGTTCAATTTTGTTTTGTGGAGTTTGACCCTTATCAGTTGGTTCTCATTGCTTAGTATTTATTGAGCCAGATTTTCTCTGTACTTAAGCTACTCCCTGGGAGAAGGTTAGACACTTCTGGAAACTGCATTAACTCTTTCAAGCCACTAGGGTGCTATTCAGTGAATTACTTCTCAGTAATTAAAGACGCTGCAACACAAAAACACAATGTGCTGGGATATGGAGAGCTAATCTCTCTGCTTGCCTTCCCCAGCTGCCTATTTCTGATTACCGAAAAGATAGGGTGCAAATATGTGGGGATTACATGATGACAGCCATTCCTGACTTCATCTAAGAACCTACAGTACTCTCTTCCTAAAGCCCATGAATTTTTCACATTAGAGAACAAAGATTAGCAGGATCAAGTGACTAAAGCACTTAATGGCTTTAATCCTTATTCCTGCACATATTCACTCTGTAGTTTTGTACTTATCTCCTTCAAATTCTTTACCTTATTTGCCCCTTTCTGTACATCTGCAGGATGATAAGAGCAGTTGTGGGCTCTGGACACCAATATCTCTAATCTTTTTTCTTCTAATATAAAAAAAATAGAGTTGGATTTGAATGACTATCTTTTCTGGTGCCCATACACATGCCTGAAGTCAATTTATTATACAGAAACTGTCTTCCCCCTCCTCCTGATGCCCCTTTAAAGCCAGTGATATTCACCTTCCATTTTCAAACATCTTGCACTGCTAGTTTGCATCTTTAATTACCCAGGGCACTGGTCTTGTTTTATATGACTTACAACAAGCAGTTTTGTCGTTAGTTCATTTAAGCAAAATCATCCCTGGTTTGAGCCAAGACATATTCAATACACAATTACCTGATGGGTCAGGGCTCTGCCGTTTTGTCATTTTTACTGGCATTTTCTCCATTATTGCTAAGTACTGAGCAGTATAAGCTGTCAGAGCCACATGGCTGGCCTGAAACTTAATTTTCCTAAATTGCCCAATTCTTCAGAAACACCTTACCCCCCAAGCACAGTCCCCTTGACAAGGGGCAAATAGGGTTAAACTTCAAACTGAGTCATATAGAGCTTGCCAAGAGCAATGGTGGGAAGGAAGCAATTAAGCAGAATTTGGGTTTGCAGGGTGAATTAGACTTTTAGAGACAATGCAGAATTCTGTGTCAAAGTGGCTGTTGAAAAGCCTTAGCATAGCAAGAAGTTTTAGATAATACAGTGCTGCAGTAGGAGGAAGCAGGAAGCATAAGGAAAAGAAGTGCTTACTGAATACTCATGTGAAAGTCAGTGTGCTAGACATTTTTATACACACTATTGCATCCATTCTGATAATGACCTTTAAGATAGATATTTTTATTCCCATTCTACAGATGGGAAAACAGAGGTAGAATGTTCAGTGGATTGATCAAGGATAATACAGCTAGCAGATGGGATAGTTTCATTCAAAACTAGCTCTTCTGAGTCCACACACAATGTTCTTTGCACTAAACCACCCCAGCATGGGACCAGTAATCTAGTATTACAGTCTCCCTGATGAAAAGTCTGGAGAAGTAGCAAAGGAATACAAAACACCCAGAATTAACCTTTCCTTACCTTCACCCCATGGTCCTCAGTGCCACTCATCTGCTTTCTGCTTGCCTCCAGGTGATCTGAGAGAAGCATCTCCTTGGTCCATTCCTAGCCTGTGTAACACCCTAACTCTTTGCACTTACTTCCCATGAAGAGAAGCCCTTTGAAGTCCAAGAAGTTACCCAGTCCTTGTTACCTGGAGAATTTGAGAAAATGTACAGCAGTTTAGCCTCTTGCTTTGCATTAGCCTCAAAAACAAACTGCCTGTTCCAGCTTTCAGTGAAAAGCAGAACAAGATTTCCATTTCCTAAATCAGTGTGTCTTAGCGAGCAGATGCACACCTCAGAGCACATTAAAATACAAATGTTAACTATCTGGAGATAACCTGACAATTTTCTAACCCTTCTCTCTCTCTCTCTCTCTCTCTCACACACACACACACACACACACACACACTCACTCACTATAAAAGATTGAGAGTTTGAGAATTTGTTTTAGCAACATCTATTATTCTGACATCATTAGGCATTTCTGTCTTCAGTCGAGTGAGGATGGAAACTTAGACTATGGATTGATAGCCACTGGTGAGCTACTTGAAGGTAAAAACTGTGGCAAGCCTAGAGATTGGCCTGTCCTGACCAAATATGCTCAATAGCCTCATTTCTACTTGGTGACACCTCTTACCTGGGTTCTTGGTAAAGCACAATTCAGTACATTCAGTTCTGGACCATGGAAGTGACCAAGAGTTTCATGACAGCATTTTGGTTCCACTGCTCATTCTTTCCCTCCTTGCCACACCCTTCCACAACCTGAAAAGTTTACATATACATGAGCTTTGGGTCAACCCACATTGCCAAACTGTGTAGTGAAGAACTAACTTTATCTAGAGGTCTGGCCTTTGTCTTGCCTCCTTGGGTTAACCTCAAAACCCTTGGAACTGCCCAAGTGATGTGTGTCTTTGTCATTTATGATGGTCCTTCAGGCTACATATGATCATCTATGCTAACAAAGTGACTCTTGATGGGCACCTGATGGTTTATGCCGAAGAGACGATGCAGCATGGAGCCAGCCACACAGATAGGCTTAGGGTGAAGGCAGGCCATGCCAGGAAGACCAACCATGCAATTAGAAAGTTGGTTCTTTGGGCTTCATGAAATCAACCTGACCCATGGGGAGGAAAGAAGGGCTGAAGACTGAGCTCAACCACATGGGCAATAAATAACTCAATCAATTATGCCTATCACATGAAGCCCCAGTAAAAACTGTGAACACTAAAGCGAGGCAATACTCTGTGTATTGCCACACATTGATGCCAGAGTGGTGACATGCTCCTGAGAACATGGAAATTTCGTGTTGGGACTTCCCTGGTTCCAGATTCTAGCCCATGTGTCTCCTCCTCTGGCTGGTTCTGATGGTATCCTCTTGCTATAACGAAACTGCAGTCAGACATACATCACTTTCCTGAATTCCGTGAGATGCTCCAGCAAATTATCAAACCTGAGAGTAGACCTGGGGACCCCCACACTAATGGCTGGGGTCAGAAATCTTAGGCAGGCTTGGCAGGATAGAGGACTATGTCCTTAACCTCAAGTCTTGCTGACTGTAGGTACAAACCTACTTTCTGAAAACAGTTGCTCAAATCTAGCTCCTAGGTATTGCTTCTACTGGCCCTGAAACACAACTCATAGCTTCCTCACTTTCTCAAACTCCTGGCCTCAAGCAATCCTCCTGCCTCAGCCTCCAAAAATGCTGGGATTCTTCCTCACTCTATAACTCGGTGTCATTCTAACAATCCATTTAGTGTCCAGAGATGTGTCTGCCCCAGACTCACCCTAAAAGTTATAGGTAAAAACCTTTCCTTTATGCTCAGTACCCCCTCTGTCAAAAGAAAATCGTTTAAGTGATTCAAATAGAGATTAACTAATGCATTCAGCCAATGTACATCAGCAAGCACCTGAACAGCCATGCAAATCTGTGAATATAAAAGAAACAGGATTGGAGTTGTATAGGGTGAGGAGATAAGCAGGGTATGTGTCCTTGTGGTCTGGCTCAGGTAGCAGCTTCTATCTTAAACTGCTCTGAAACTTGAAATGGGAGTGTCATTTAGCCATTGGTGCGATCCCATGCCCTGCACGGTCTAACCAGTGTTCTCAAGGGATGATCTTGCAAGCCTTGCAGTCTATTGGTTAGTTAGGGTTTAGGGGTAGGGAAGGGAGCATAAAGGAGAAAGGAGAAAAATGGAAAGCAGGCACGAATCAAAGGCAAGGGAAACTGGAGCCTCTCTCATATCTGTTTTAGTCTTATTAAACTTCCTGCACACAGGCCCCCAACGTCTAGGCATTTAGAAGTTTGGGTCTCCCCCGCCCACAGTATATTAATACTTTATAACTCCCGCCTCTTCCAGGCAGGCACATACTCACTGGTATTACTGTGCAGGGCCAGAACGTCACACCGTGAGACCACCAAAGCCACACTCCCTGTAGATCTCTGCAGAACATAAAGAGATGCATGGTTTGCCTTCTGGGATCTCTGATGTGCTACACAGCGTCTTGTTGGCATTTTACTCCGGGGCCTTAGAAATGAGTCTTGTCGGCTGCCAGGCTCTCTGAGCCTGGTGATTCTGCATTTTTGTACTTTCTGGAAAAATAGTCCTATTGCGATGCCAACAATAATACTCACTCACTCACTCTCTGCAACACTGCTCCTCCTCTGGTCCCCGGTCCTCTGAAGGCAGCTTCTTCCTGCCTCTTCCTCTCCCTCGACAATCAGGGGAGGGATGTTTACTGAGCTGTTAGAAGCTTGGAGCACTGAGGACCCTTGATATCCCTAAATGCTTGTGCAACTTGCTTTCCGCTGTTTATTTTGTGGGAAACAGTCAATTCTCTACATGAGGTGTCAGATTAGTCTTCCATAAAAGAAAATGGGAGAACTGGGAAACTTTTTAAAAATCTTTGTAAAACAAGAGAGAAAAAAACATAAAAGAAAGGCTTGCTATTTTAAAATGCCACGTGAAATCTCTAATGCCTCTACTGCCCCTTTCCAAGTCTGATGGAAGAGAAAAGTCTCTGCAGTGGAAGTGACAAGACCCAGCGTCCCGGCGCAGCCCTCCCCTCACCAGCTTTGCGACCTCCAACCGGTCACGTGACCTCGCCAGGCCTCTGCCTCTTCATCTCTGACATGTACAGTTGACCTCTGAGGTCCAGGTCCCTTTCAGCTCCAAGTTTTCATGATAAAGAACAAGAAGAAGAACACATGCTCCCTCAGGGAGGAGAAGTGAGGACAGGAAGTCAGACATGAGAGAGTGAGCAATGGAGAGGTGGCCCTTCATGTGTGGCTGGTGCCAGGAAAGGATCAGATCCCCCCCCCTTTTCTTCATAAGGGACTGCCTTGCCTGCGCTGACCCTGAACACCTGGGCTCTGAGAAATGTATTAAATGTCTGAGAACTGCTATTATCCTAAGTGATGAAATGAGCCACTGAGACTGGAGTGGAGGTTAAATTGAAACCAACCTGCCTGGGTATGCTGTCCTTGATTGTGTGCTGTTAAACAACAGCCTGAGTAGGCACGCCAGGCCCAGAGAAGGAAGAGATTATATTTCTTCTTAACAATGAAAAAAACCATTATAAACCTAGAGAGGTCATTTTAACGGGAAGGAAGGTAATTTGAGATGATTATATTAATATTAAAATTAATTAGCCTTCTTCATTTACATTTTAAAGTGTAGTCATCAGATATTAAATAGACGTGAAATATGTAATTTGCCATGCCAGTTGCAAATATCACTCAGGCATTGAAAAACCAAAAATGAGGTTTGGAAGTTCTCTTTGGGGCATCCTGGTTGTAGTTAAGGTCTGTCATAAGTTTCATGGCTAATAAAGCCCTTCTAGACTGAATCTGTATTTTTGTGCTTTCTGAAAAGCAACAAGAATATAAGATCTTCAAAATAATAAAGAATAAAGCAAAATAAAATCAATTCATACCTTATGCCAAAGATGTTGCAAGCTCTAAAGCTCGAAAGGATCATTGGGCTCCACCCAACTTCCACCTTTGCAGATGGGAAATCAGCAGTAGGAGGAACTTACCCTGTGCAAGCATGCATCTCTTTCTTCTTAAGGTTTGCAGCAAAGTTTTGCCTTGCTTTTCTAAAAAAATAAATTCTATTTCCTAATTCATTTGTACTTGAGCATCATACAGATTCAGTTCTAAGCCCTGCATTCATATTAGCAAATATTCTGTATTTGAAATTTTGTCAGATTTTACTAGGTTTTAGTCTTCAGCACCAAGGTGGGGGGGTGGCAGTTAATTAGCAAACAAAACCATCCGCCATGTGCCAGACACTATGCTAGATGCCGGGAGGGAAACAAAAGTGGTAGAGATTCCTGCTCTATTCAAGTAGACACAAATGCAAACAAATAACAGAGCAATATTGAAAGGGCAACAGGAGTGCAGAGATGAAAAAGAGCAAGTCTGAGTCAAGGAATTGGAAAAGGCTTTTTCTACAAAACTCTGTCCTTTCATGTATACAGAACACTCCAGATATTCAATCCCTAGCCACTCCCGATGCAGAGCTGTGGAAAGTCCTCTTAAAAGAGTTGTTGCCTATCTCTGCTGCACTAAGCCCTTGTGACCTCTTAGAATGAGTAAGCTGAAATTAGGAAATGCTCCCATCCTGAGAAGTGATCCACAGGAAAAAGCTCACAAAGGCACATGATGCATTATAGAAGGCTGAGTATGACGCGTTAGGTACCTACCAATCTTTTTGCCAATTAATATCTCACACAAAAGCAAAAACACACCAACAACCTCCATTTTGAAAACACACTTCTCCCTACCTCCTAGTGGTACAGCTTGCTGGGCATCAAAGGTTCTGACTGCCTCCCTTGGCTATCCTGCCAATAATAGAGGCACAGCAGACCTAACAGGAAGAAAACAAAGGGTGAGAATAAAACACGATGTTTCTGTCAGCCAGACAGCACAGCTATCCCCAGAATCCGCACGACTGCTGGGAGGTAGTGGAGAACTTTAAAAATCAGGTTGACACTTGCTATTTAGGATCGCAATAAGGAAGTCCATTATACTAGTTGTTAACATTCTGAATAATACTTAAAAACAGTAATCTATATATAATTTATCTTCTAATATAGCACTATTATTTCTGGAAAGCTTGCAGCAAGACTAAAATGGCCTTATTCCAAACCACCAAAATCAATTCTTTTGTACAAATTTGATATAGGCAGGCTTTGAAAAAGCTCACTGACCTGTGAAGCCTGGCATTTGCACCATAAAATTTAGACGTTATTTGATGAAGTTATTGAACACTGTACTTACCTCATCTAAGATTTGAAAGCAATCGTACATACTTTCACTTTTTCTGTTTAGGAGGAAGTTTTGAATAAGTGGCAAATCAAATTGCTTATGCTTTGGATTTGGGTAAAGACATAGACAGTCTAGACTGCACTTAATGAAAACTATAAGTTAATTTTGAGTGTTGATGCTGGAGGTTCATTGCCAAGTCGAAATGATGGGAATTATTGTTAAAAGGCTTTAGAAGTGGAGGGGAAAAAAGACATAATGCAATATCCGAATATGAGTCTATTTTCTTCACTAATTTGCTAATTAAAAGTTTATTTTCATATACTCTAATCTTAAAATTCAAGGGAAATGAATGATACACAAAATTTGTCTGCTGTTTTAAATGGGGATAATTTCAAAATATTATGTGGGTACAAACATTTTGATTACATATAATGCCTTTGCCTCATCCAAGCCAGGGCTAGAAGCTTGCCCCTCCCCCATACAGTGTGCTCTGCATCCATTAGTTGTGCATTTACCCACCCCGAACCTCCCCCTCTGACTGGCACCCAATGAGTATTACTACCATGTGAGCTCCTTAATGTTGATCAGTTAGTACTAATTCGATGTCGAGTACATGAGGTACTTGTTTTTCCATTCTTGTGTTACCTCACTTCGAAGGATGGGCTCAAGCTCTATCCAGAATAATATAATATGTGCTAGATCACCATTGCTTTTTTGCAGCCTTCTTAATAATAACCTCTACAATGATCCACACCCAAGTGGCTCTCCTGTTTGTTCATGGCTAAATTACAGCCAATCACAGACATCAACTTTTAACAGTAAAACAAAAGCAGTCCAAAAACAGGTTGGTCCACTTTATTCATAAAACATTCTTGTATATGTCTTTGAGTATTCTTGTATATGTCTTTGGTAGAAATATGCACTCATTTCTCTTGGGTATGCCTAAGAACGAGATTGCTGGGTCATGGATCCATATGTTTAGCTTTGATAGATACTGACAAATAGTTTTCCTTAATGGTTGTACCAATTCACACCCACCTGGGGTGTATGAGAGTTTGATTTGATCCTCACCCTTGTCAACACTTGGTACCTGGTCTTTTTTATTTTAACCATTCTGGGCATATAGTAATGACTCACTGATTTTGATTTGTATTTTCCTCATGAGCAGGGAGGTCCAGCACCTTTTGGGTGTTTGTGGGCTTTTGGATGTCTTCTTTGGTGAAGCACCTGTTCAATATTTCCACTCATTTCAAAAATTGAATGTTTTTTTGTCTTTTACTTACTGATTTGTTCTTTATAAACTCTGGATGCGAATTCTTGTCAAATATGTGTATTATAAACATCTGTTTCAGGCCTAGAAAAAAAAGAGCAAGCTTGGTTGTAGTGATTCAGCAGCGTTTCACAAGACCATAAAAGTGCTGGTATTAAATAGACTGAGCCATGGGCAAACTGTCATTCGCAACTCCAATCGCACCACAGGCTCACATCACTGATGAGGGCTTACAGCATCTAACTCAGCCAACTTTGTAGAAGATGACCTATGATCACAAGCCCAGAAGGGCCCAAACATTCACTGGAATGTGGCAAAAGAATTAAACTTTTCAGGGTTATCCTGATATTCCTTGTTTAGTGGGCATGGTTTTCTTTAAGTGCAATCCATTTCTTTAGAAATTTGACCAAACTGATGAAGCAGACACTTGATAATTTGGATAAGTCCTAAGGTTTCAACTTAATAGGCAACTGCAGAAATTTAATTGCACCCAATAAAAGCCATATCATTTCTGAAATCGTGACTTTGTTTCTGCAAATCTTTACATTGAGTGACATATTCTTTTAAGTATGGGTTGTTTGCTAATAGAATCCTCATTCTTCACTGTTCAATTCACAGATGTACTTTGGGGCTGGATACACGTATATCTCATAGGAGGTAAGCATGTGGTAAAAGACAACAGTAAGATGATCTTTGTGAGTATAGAAATAAGGTTGCCCTCTGAGATCTACACTCTAAAATCAGCACAGAGAGGGAATAATTCTTTATTAACCCCATTTAGCTCATAAGTATGCAGAGTCACCATAAAGAAGCAGAATATCTCTCAGGACAGCAACTCTGGCCCATAAACTCCTGGAAGCTGTTAGCCAGCTGCATCCATGAACCTGACAATGCATCATGTGGTCATAGCCTAGTGCTATAAAGCATAAAGGCAGAGGAAACTCCTTCCAAAGCCACGATTACCAGGCAGCTGCTGATAATTTGGCTTCCTATGTAGCTAGCCCAGGATGTGAGATAAGCTGATCAAGCTAATTTGAGTGTATAGTCCACTTGACATTGCACTTATCAATATAAATCATAATAGCTAACTATTATTTGCTGCTTACTCCACACCAGACAACATTCTAAGCACTTTACATCTATTATCTCATGTAGTCCTCACAACAGGGCAGAGAGCTAAGTCACAAAGCCAAGGTCATGGTAGAGCAGTCAGGATCTGAACCTAAACAACCTGTGTCTAGAATGTGTACTCTTCATTACTCATGCTCTCAATATTCTGATTTTAATCATCAGGGGTGTTGAGAGCTTTGATATCACTAATTAGCATCCGAACACGTGACCATTTGTGAAGCAACTAATTAGATCATGTTATCAACACTGAAGGGCTATAGCTAAACCCAGGACTATAGGGAGTTCCCCAAGGAAATGTCGCCTTGTTGGGTGAGGTGCCACCCCATGGCTCCCAAGAAGCATCTCTGCACATTGTCATCCCTATGCACCTTTATTTTTAAACTCAACACTTGAAGAAATTAACCATATTCTTGTTTTCTTTGCTGCATTTTCAATTTGTGTTCATACCATTTTGTCACCTGAGTAAAAAGTGCAGTCTCCTATATCACTGGGCATCCAAGAAGTTGGGTTTCTTGTGTGCATGGCATTCAGAAAGCCAGTGGCCTGGCCTCCTGCTTATATAAACCACATCTCTAGACTCTGCTTGAGGTTTTCCAAATATCACCCAGGTTGTGGACACTTAAAGACACAGTCATGAACATGATGGGAATTTACAACATGATCAGTGGCTCGAACAAATCATGCATGGAAACTGGATTTAGTGTCCTTCTATTTCTGAAGCGAATATACAGTCAAAATCTTCCTCCCCACTCACTTTTATTTCTGATTCCTTAACTGAAGTGAAATTAGATCAACTCTCCCAAACCCCTTAAAGGTATGTGAGTAGATACTACTATTATACGTTTTATGTCCTAGTTAGATAGTTAAAACATACATTTCTAAATATGGCATCATGTTAGACATGTGATATTTACCCACTGACTCAATTTTGAGTAGGTTAATAAGATCATATATTACTATATTTTTTAAAATATAAAGGAATTTACAAACATTGCTCATCATAATACAACATTTCCCAAAATGTATTCTGTAGAACATTCATAGAATATTAATAGAGATACCACAATAAAAAAAAAAATATTTCTGAGGCCTAAGAGTTAAATGGGCGTCTTTACTGTGTGACTTCTCAGAGCCTTTAATTTATAACATAGCAAATATAGCGAATCTCTACAGTATATATCAGTGTTTATCTGTGATGAAGGATCAGTTTTGGGATTTTTTTTTCCAGTTCACAGAGGAGCATTATTTTAGCAAAATATAATAAATGTGATTTACTAGAAACTGAAGTAAAAACAATAAAGACATACAAAATGCAACCCCTATTTTTTTATTATTGAATTTAACAGATATAAAATTATTATGTCAAATCTCTATTCAAGTCTCTAAATGCTTATTCTCAGTTTTTGTATGTTTCACATCACAGACAGGAAACAGCTTATGGAATGGCATCAGTTCACAGACCACATATTTTTCCAAATCTTTGATTTCCAAATAAGGTAATAATTCTAGTCTTCAAGAAAATACATGTTAGAAAGTGCTGCTTTATTTCCAAAGTCTGTTTTATTGCTTTTCCAAGTTTAATTGCCATAAATGGGAAATTGAATTAATTGTTAAAGAATCTCAGCTACTCCAGCTACTGAGGAGGCTAAAGGAGGCTGAAGCAGGAGGCTCACTTGAGGCCAGGATTTCAACACCAGACCCAGCAACATAGTGAGATCCTGTCTCTAAAAAAAGAAAAAAAAAAAAAAAAAATATATATATATACATGTACATATGTATATATATTAAATAAGGTTGAATTCTGCTTCTTTTAATACTAAGTGGTGAACATGGTCACAGTGAAGAGCATATGGAATTAACTGTTGGGCTTGGCATGTGCAGATGCAGAAGACAGGGTGAAGGCAGGTTAGGAAGGAATGGTTAAGATAGCTACCTGGTCATTGTTCTCCACTGATATCTGCAAAGTCCAAGCAAAGGAAAAGCTAGTGAGGATAAGAGGGGAAAAAATGTGCAGTGCCTGCTTATATTAGGGTTTATTTAAATAAATTTCCATGGTAAGGGGATAGATCCTCCCAACCTAGACATAATGGCATTCTGTGCAAATCCACAGGGGTCATGCAAATTTCAACCAACCTGATTGCAGTTTCTCCTGTAATCATTTTGAATCAATCAATCACATTTTTAGCTGACTACTTTGTACCTAGTAATGTGTCAGATTCTATGTCTTTTCAGATTCTGAGCCTGTTTTATAATATAAAAGTCAAACCAAAGGTTACTTGAGAGCTCTTGGTGTTTTGCCTAAGGTTTTGTTTCTCATCAGAAATGTTAAATTATAAAACTATAAAACACAGTTTTAAATAATGTGCCCTTATCTAGGAAAAAAAATTAATTGTGAAATTCAACTCAAAGTTGGAGCCAGTGGAAGAGTTTTATTATAAATAAATAAATAAATAAATAAATAAATAAATAAATTCTATTGATTTTGCACTTTGGCACTGTTGTTGAAACCCAAACCAAATTACCTGAATATAGTTTCAGGTGTTAAAAATGAACCCTTCTTATAACAAAATGCTTTCACCAGAACTCAAAAGTACAGAAAGTATGTCTCGTGGTAGTCTTTCACTTTTCACAATAGTTTTAAAGAAAAATGAAAACGTGTGCTATCCATATATATAAAAAGCACTTGAGTAATGATAATTAGAACAATTGCAATGTGTATCATACTAGATAAAATGGATTATTCGGCTTTAGAATCCTTTTAAAAAGAGAAAACATTATTGCAAACTAAATAAATGACTCTGAGACAGGGATAGCTCTGCCAATATTTGAGGTCAGAATTATCATTCATTATCCTTTTACCAAAGGCTGCCTCAGTAGGCTAGAAACTCAGAGCCAATAATAGAGGCAAAAAAAAAAAAGGAGAGAGAGAGAGAGAAGAAAAAGATACTATGATTGAGACTATCTCCACTTACCCAGGGAACTCATAAGTAAAATGTTGTTGGTTTCAGCTGACCTTTTCTCTCCTGTACTCTTCCTACTTTTACTAATGTCCCATTTTAACACCTGAAAAGGTCATTGACTTACTGCGATCAGATACGTGAAAACTGATAATGATGATGGAAATTTTGCCCTTCCCACAGAGTCAAACAGGGCCACACAGTTTGCTTGCCATTATGACGTAAGCAGGGTAAGCCCTGTAGAAAGGTATCACAAGTGGTATCACTTGGGCAATAGCATGGTAGGCACTTTGGCCTCCGAATTTCCCTCCCACTGAATGCCGTATTACCTGAAAATCTCAGCTTTAGAATTACTATTTGAACTAGCATACAAGGTCCTCATAGTGTCACTATCCTTCGTTAATTCCTTAAGGGGGATGATATTTTTAGATACATGAGCCTGACACAAAGCAGGGTGCTAAGGCAAGGGATACAGAGGTGTGGGGATGGAAAGGAGGGAGGCGAGAAGTCTTGCATCCATTGAGCACTGTTGTGAGAGGAGCAAGAGAGCACCGAGAGGTAAGAAAGGACAGAAGGAAAGAACCCCCTGGAGGCTCCAAGGACATCATGAGAGAACATGCAAACTAAGGACAAAATGCATCGTGTGCAGTTTTGCCTGGAGATCATGCGTGCCTAACCCATGCCAGTATAGACCAGATGCCCAGTAAGCAGTCCTCCCTCCCTCTTCTCTTCTCCTGGGAAAGGCCCTGGTCTGGCAGGTGGGGGGTGAGGGGGGGTTGCTTTACATCACAATAAATCTGAGCTGGACTTCCCTGTTTTATAGTTTGAGATTGGCATATACTTTATAAATTTTACCCTCGAAGTCTCCAAATTGGAAGGAAGGCGGAGATATTTTAGATACTGCAATATATTTTAGACGTTTTCTTATTTCATCTGTTTGTTCACATTTGCAAATGGCATGTGTTGACAGTGCTACTTTGAGCTTGTTTAATATGTTGCTTATGTGGGCATTACCTCCTTTTGTCCTCCCAACATAGTGCAAAAGTAAGAAAAGGCAGATGGCATAATTTCCATTCAAGATGTGAGGAAACCTAGGTATAGAAGGAGAAGAAAGATCAGGGCATAGAACTGGACTACGAACCTCTGGCCTCTGTCATCCTGCCCAACATTCTACTGCGCCGAAATTTCAAGCGTTAAACAAAATGTGCAATGCTTTGAGGTCATTTATGTGGCATTGGGGCAGGACCTGAAGTTGTGAAGCTCTGTGGAGGGCAGGGACTGGTTCTTATCCCTGCCCTACCACAGGACTCGTCAATAAACCTCACGTGTCTTAGGCACTCAGTATTTATTTGTTAAATCTTTGAGTATGCAGAAGGACAGGTATTGAGAAAAAGTTGGGAAAGAACATGAAAACCATGGAACTTAGCGAGACATTTTTTAAACTTTCATAAGATCTGGGCTTCTTAGCACCGCTATATTGTATACCAGGCATCTTTGGTGCCTTGTGTCAAATTTCCTCCCACCACAGATTTTAGGGGCAGCATCAGTGGACAGTTGTGTGCAAGTGTAGACTCACACCACACTGGCTGCATGTGCTGAGCATCTTTCTGTTTTCTGTCCCAAGAACTTTTCTGATGCTGCCAAGCCCCTTCTGTCTACAAACACATACGACCCAGAAGTATAGGGGCGTTCATGCTGCCAGCAGACACCCTCAGCCCAAGGGGGGTGGGAGCCTGGGGATAAATGCTCCAACCTCTCTTCCTCCAGGAGACAACTGGGGAGGAATTCTGCTTCCTACCAAAGAGGTGAGGCAGAATTTGGCCCCTGTTCCCTATAGCAAGGGCTTAGAAACCACACCCTACTTGGGATTTTCTTTTCTCCTCTCACTCTCCCCTCTCCTTCACTCTGGTGTCCTGGAATCAATTCCCAAATATTCATCTTCACTGAGTCTTTGACTCAACCTCCACTTTCATGAGAACCTAAGACCATCTTTAATAGAGTGTGTTGGTTAGGACTGAAAGTTTGGCAAGAAATATGTGTAAGGAAATAGAGCATTAGAACTGGTGTGGTTAGTGTGTTGCTAAGGGAAGCATAATAGGCCATAATCAAGCCTGGTCTTTAGCTGGTAAGAACTGCCATGGTGCTCAGCTGTTCATACACTCTGCTATGTCCATACCACCTGGTGCACAGCTGCTGCCCTGAACCCCCATAAGGCTTCTCCACATCAACCTGGCCCTCTCAGCCTCCCTGGACCCCTAAGAGTGCCTCACGACCCAGCAACTAAAGGAATGATGCCAGGAGCTCCCAAGGCCTCACTCCGGTGCCATGACTATTATAAGATCTTATTGATCACACCCATGATACACTAATTATTAAATACTTTTAATATCATCTTTGGCTACAGCAATTCATAGGACATACACCTAATTTTAGGGGTGAAGGAAGTGGTTATCAGGGAAGATATTCCTAAAGAAATGATACTGAAGTTGGATAAATGTATATTGAGGAAAGCCTAAAGATGAAAGAAATTATAGGAAGCAAACAAAAATTTAACACGGCTGGCCAGGAATATAAACAGAGGCCAGATCATAAAAGTCTCGTAGGCCACGTTAAGAGTTAAAGCTTTTCCCGAAGTTACTGAAGGGAGAAGGGCTCCAATCACAAAGATCACGGTGGTTTCTGCCACATCTAACTCAGGAATGTAAAGTTCTTGTTCAGGGCTGGATGAGTCCCTGAATAAGTTTCTTTCCAATGGCTTTCCATCAATAATAGCAACAAATTTTTATTGTCTATTTGTTTCCAGGATGTCAGGGACTATTCTAATTAATTTATTTATATTAAATCATTTAAGCCTCACAACAAACATGTAAATTAGGCCCGATTATTATCCCCACTTAATAGGTGAGGAAGTTGAGTCAGAGAGAAGTTAAGTAACTTGCCCAAGGTTACACTGCTAGCATGTGGCAGAGCTGGCTCCTTAATTCCTATGTTTCACACATTAGAGAGACTAATTTCAAATTAAGGCCATGCAATTCAGAAGCAACTCCATATAGTGTTTTTCTCCACTATACCCAGCTGGAGCTGGGTTTCAGTACTGTGTATCTATCCAGATTAATAATGAGTGAGCAGAAGCCCAAGGGTCAATTATAGGAGTTTGAGTCTAAAAACACACCGTGTTGGGTCAGCAAATCCCAATCCAGTGATGAGCTCCACCACATCATAAATATATAATGTACAGAAAATAGAAGAAAACTTGATAGCCAGTCAATGATTGACATTATAAAGAACATAGTTGGGATTTGGAGAGTAAAGTGTAGAAGAAAAGAGTGAAATATTTATAGTTCTCAACTTCTCATTTACCAGTGAACTCAAGTGTGAGTGATTCAGACATCCTTAGCGGGCACCACAACTGCGGAAGATACAAAACAATAAGAATCCTGCTTCCCAAATGTGAGCAAAGTACTTCCCATTCTCTAGGAGCCTACAATTTCTAACAGGAAAGCAAGACAATAGACAGATAACCACAATACGAGGCAGGATGCAATAAATGCTCTGAGATTGTCCAAATGAAGTCCATGAACTCTCACAGGGCAGAATCAGGGCAGGCAAGATGTAGAACATAGACTCTGAGGTGAGTCTTACCAGTAGATGTGGGAAAGATAGGAACATTCCAAAGAGAGAAAAGTAGAAGCCAAAATGAGGAGGTAGGAAATATCATTTTGTAATTTAGGAAATAGCAAATAATTCCAGTTGATTTATAGAGAGGAGTAAAGAACAATTTATTCATTCATTCATTCAATAATATTTCTATCTAGTGTCTCTTACATCTCAAACATTGTGTTAGGCAGTGTGGATGGATATATCAGTTAATATGGATGAAAATGTCTCTGCCCTGATAGGGTTTATTTTCAGTGGGAGTGGCAAACAATAAAGAAAAAAGCCCCAAATAAATGAAGTGATTAAGCTGAAGTAAGTAGGCTGAAGATGGGAAAGGTCCCTTGGGTGTTCAGTTTGGAGAATCTACGATGCCAGACAAAGGCTTCCTTCTACAAGCACCAGGGAATCACGGAGGGTTTGTGGTCATAAGTATGAGATGGGAATGACAATGAAGGCGGATTTTTGAGACACTTGATCCCAGGATGGAAGGCAGGAGAAATGACTGTGGCAAAGCCTAGTCAGGAGGCTGCTGCACGGGTCCAGAAAGGAGAACTAAGAGAGTAGATGAGAAAATTTAGAAGTGTAGATGAGGAAAGATGCAAAGGAAATAAGGACTTTGGTGGAAGGACAGGGAGAAGTCCACAGTCAGCACCTGCTCAACCATGGAGAATGATGGTGCTGCTTGCAACCAGTGGAACCAGGAAGAGGTGGCTTAGAAGTTAAAACAAATTTTAAATTCTGATATAATATCTATTTGGAAATGTCTAATAGTCCATCCAGATCAATATCGGAATACTTCTGCTGTGCTAGGTATGGTTGTAGGTGCCTCCAAGAGGTAGATGAAAAAGCCTGCAATTTGGGTAACAAATCTGAGCTGAAAAGAGAGCTGTGGGGAATTATTAATATAGACAAGATAGTTGAAGCTATGAGAAAAGATGATCACACTGAGACACATCTGATACTATATATGTCATTGGGTTCTCTTTTTATTTTTAGATAGAATTTTTTCCTTCTAGAATAGATACAAAGGTTAAGGGTAGGCAGATGTCAGTTGCCTTCAGAAACTTCTTCCATCTGGGCCACCCTTGGCTCTTCACAGGAATCCCCAAAGCAGTCGCTCAGGGAGGCTTCAGCTAGCACCGAGCTTGCGCGCTCCTCCCTCTCTCCTATTCCTGCCTCCTGCACGCACTGCTAGAAGCCCAGAGGGAAAAAAGTAAGAGAATCAAGTATCAGTTCTATGGCCAGAGTATGAAAGCAGCTTTATTTATAATCTTTAAAGCTACCATATTCTACTTTGCTTCTTGGTATTTGTAAATATTAATTGAATAATTTGCCCTATCATAGAAAAACAATAGATTAGAATTGGGGGGGAATTTTATTCTCAGCTACTCCTGCGATTCCTCGGTCAATTGAGGCCATGGAGAACAGCCCAGACATCAGTGCCCACATGAGTTCACTCCCCTAATCACGGGAACATGACTGATGTAGGAGCAGAAGTAGCCTCAGTGGTCTGGCTTGAAAAAATATTCCCA